TACTTCCGTAGTGATACTGCCTCAGAAACCCAAGGAGGGGTCGCTATGAGTCAGGGCTGACTCGACGGCACATAACAACAACAACAACAAATTTGCCCCTAGTTTTTCCTTGAGGAGCTTTATTGTTTTAGGTTTCACATTTAAGTCTTTGATTCATCTGGAGTTAGTATTTGTGTATGGTGTGAGATACAAATCTTGTTTCATTTTTCTGCAAATGGATATCCAGTTTTGCCAGCATCATTTGTTAAAGAGACCATCTCTTCCCCATGTAATGGGTTTTAGTCCTTTGTCAAAAATCAGCTTACCATAGGTTGATGGATCTATTTCTGGGTTCTCTATTCTATTATTTCTGGGTTCTCAATTCTATTGCTGTAGGTTTTTTTAAAAAAGGAGCAAATGTACTAAGTTGTATATTTATTATATAAATATAGAATGGAAGTTTGGAAGTAATAATAGTGGTTACATTGGAATGAGAGGTAATTGCATATAGGGTTGGAGGAAGAGGTTTCACTCTATACGTTTGAACCATGTAAATGTATTACCAACCTCAAAAAATTAATTTTAAAAATTAGCTTATAAATATAACTTGTTCTGGTTACCTAGTGCTGTTTTGACAGGATTATACCACAAATGGGATGGCCTTAACAAACAGTAGTTTATTCTCTTATAATTTTGGAGGCTTTAAGTCCAAGTTCAAAGTGTCAGGCTCTAGGGGCTGGGTGAAAGCCCCTCGATCTTGGGCTTCAGCTCTGCCTCTTGCTCCCAGCCCACTGAAGCTAGGTGCATCTCTTCACTCAGGCAGCTGCTCACGGCTGAGGCTGATAAACCCAAGGTCGACAAGTAAAAAGGCACGGTCCTGATATTACCAAACCACATAGCAGGGCATTAATTCAAGTCCATTAAAAGTCTCAAGATTGTCAGGGCAACTTGGCAGGCTGCTGGACAATGACTGTCATGCATGCAGGGTTCAAGCATTCCATAAGCTGGAGACCTTCCTCAAAGTTGCTTCTTATATACACTGGAAGCAGCCCACATCCCTAAAGTGGCTACTCAGCTGCTCCAGTAGATTCCACCATGGAGTTAATTACCAATCTCACCAAGGGGAATAACTCTATCCAGCTGCCTAGCCACTCAACCAGGCCTAGCCAAGTTGACATACATCCTTAACTACCACAAACCTCATTTTACAATTTATTAATGATATATACAAATACAATAAAAGTTCATAATGAAAGCTTAAATGATCACATGATGTTTCACTTTGATGAAATTGAAGTGGAAAATGAAAACATTAGATTGCTTTTGTCTGCTTTACAGGGGATGAAAGAACAGAAACTTGAAGCCAAAAAGAAGCGTGATAAAGAAGTAGAGGCAGAAAGAAAAATGCTTGATATGGAAGAAGAAATATATAAGCAAGGAGAAAGAAAAAAGGCCATTGAAAATGCAAGGCAATACCAGTTTTATCAGACAGAGAGAGTTAAAAGCTTTCATGTACTACTTGAGTTTTATTGTGTATATATATGTATATATATTACTTTTTAACATAACTATGCTTAATTAGACTTTATTTTCTTAAAGAACACCTTTTTTATTTTTATTTTAAGTCAGGACTGCTTCTTAGTAGAGTTATGAGAGAACGTGATGCCCAGATTGAATTCCAGAAGAGTAAAAGAAAATCAGATACAAAATGGGCGGAGCAATTGAAACTGGATGATGAAAAAGCTTTTAAAGAAGAACAAGAGAAGTTAGAAAAACGCCAGAGAGAGAGAGTGGCTCTTGCAAATGATCATCTGAAACAGTATGTATATATATATATATATATATATGTGTGTGTGTGTGTGTGTGTGTGTGTGTATATGTATTACCTTTTTTATGCCCTCTCCTTTCACAATAATAAATATTGCCTTTTTTCCTGATTATAAAAGTTGTTGTTGTCATGTGCCATCACGTCAGACCTGACTCATAGCGACCCCTCCTTGGGTTCCCAAGGCAGTATCACTACAAGAGTAAATTGCCTCATCTTCCTTCTGAGGAGTGGCTGATGGGTTTGAACCTCTAGCCTTCTGGTTAGCAGTCAAGTGCCTTAGGCACTACGCTCCTTGATTATAAAAGTTAATAATGCTAAAATACATCATCAGTAGAAAAAGTACAAAGAAAGAGGTTAAAAATCACTATCGACTCCTTACCCAGCTATACTATATGGTTACTATTGTCACAAATAATGCTGCGTAATATACAACCATGCAGTTTAGTGGCATACATCAATAAATAATTATTTTCCATGCATCAGTGGGTTGTTTGGTGTTTATTGAACTAGACTGGGCTCTGCTGGGTTGATCTTCAAGTTTCATGACTGGCTGGGTTTGCTCCTTGTTTTCAGTGAGCTTTGATCTTTATGAATATTCTGGGATCCTAGATGAAGGGGCTGCAGCCATTTGGGCAAAACTTTTCTCATTGTATTGACAAAGGTGCAAGAGAACAAGCCCAAACTTTGCACATAACATGCCTAAACCGATAGTGTCTGAGAATGCCTTATTCCATATGATTTCTAGAGAGTTCTTTTCTATTATTATTTTGAAATTAAATGAACACAAAAAAGTATCTTTTAATTTACATTTCTCTTGATTTCTAGTGAAACAGAGCATTTTTTCATATGTAAATGTTTTATTTTTTTTTGTTTTTAATTATGAAGCAACTACCCTTTGTTTCATATTGTGCATTTTTGTCATTAGTTTATAAGCCATTTTTATATGATAGATATTAATAATTTACTAGATATATTGAAGATGTTTTATCGTCATTTCTAAATGTTTCTCATATTTAGAAGATTTTAATTTTTATGTGGTCAAATCTATCTTCCTTTTTTATGGTTTCTA